ATCCGAGCCAAGGTGCGCCCCAGTCCCTGCAAACACAGGGACCCCCACCCCACTTTATTGCACTTTCTGGTCTGGCTCCTTCCCCACCGTGTCCCGCTGCCCTCACGCCCCCAGAGGAGCCCGCGGAGGGAGCAGGCGCGGAGCAGAATGCTGATGCCCACCTCTCCCCAGGCCTGCCCCACCACAGCCTGCCAGGTCACCGGGGCCCCCCACGCCCCTGCCCCAGGGCACACTTCAGAGCGGAGCCTTCCCCGGCCTGCCCTGCTGCGTCTCTCAGGGGGAGGTAGGAGGGTGCAGTCAGAGGTTTCCTCTTTCTGCTCCGGAGAGGGGCTCTTTGGAGCTCCCGGGGTGCCCCCCGCACTGCAGCGGGGTTTGTGCTGGGGAGGCAGAGATGCATGGGAGGGAGATTTGCACCCCACATTTGTTGTATTGGGGTGGCACAGTCCCATCCCTCCCAGCTGCTCTCTCTGCATTCCCCACAGGCTCCCCTCCACCCCCGGAGAACAGCACCCCCCCGGCATGCCGCATCCCCGCCCGGCAGAGAGGAGCAGCCCCGCTCGGCATTACGGCGGCAGAAATACCAGTCACAGCGTTCCCTGGCGGCGCCCTCCAGAGGCAGGTGTGAAATTCGATTGGCTGCCCCAGCCGGGCCCAGCGTGTGACTATGACGACGCATGCTAACGTCACACCCCGCTCTGGGCCGCTGCACAGTAGGCGACTGACCCCGTCCAGGAGAGACCCGGTGGGGAGCCAGAGACAACCACGGGGCCTGTCTGTGTCCAGCAGCCTCCGCCGAGAATCCACCTGAGATTAATTAAGGTGCTAACTGATTGAGAAAAGCAGAATCCAGTGGGCACAGACACCTGGCCCCAGAGCCCGGCAGCCCCCCAGTATTCACGCACGCGATGCCGAGCAGCAGCAGGGTCTGCCCTGCTCCCAGGACGGCGCCCCCGCCCCTCGCCATCCCCGCGACCTGCCACCCCAAGCCGGCTGGCTCAGCCGCAGAAGCACCACCCTGGCGGGAGAGGGGAAAGCACATAACAAATCAAATGTCTTCTCCGATTTCCCCAGCGTACGCGTTGGCTCCTCGCGTGATTGACGGCGTTGGCAGGTCCCCTTTGCTGGAACGGCAGCCGCTGAAATGCCCACTTGGCTCAGTATCTGCCCGTGGGCCTGGGCTAGGACGCTGGGAGTGGGGGCTCTCCCCTCTGCCGTTGGCTGGGGAGGGGCAAGGCCTGCCCAAGCCCGGCAGAGATCTCGGGCGTCCCGAGGCGATCCCTGCAGCAAAGTCCTCGCCTGCCTGGCTTGTTTCAGATTAGCTCCCTGGGGCTCTGGCCTGGCCCCTCTAGTCCCGGGGCCAGGCACAGCGAGAGCCTGTGGCACGCATGACAGGGCTGGGAACGGAAGGGCCAGGGTCTCTGCCTCGGGCGGAAACCAGTATCTACCAATCCATTGCAAGGAGCAATCCCAGGCCAAGTCGCTGAACTTCTCCGAGTGCAGCGGGGTCCTGAGTCCTGCTGCACCCACATTCCCACTGCAGTGTTGGCCCCATTTCCCGGGCTCTGGTCCCATGCTCCCACCCCCAGTGCCACCCAGACCCCCCCCTCCCATCTGCCTGGGCTTGTGCTGGGCTCTGAGTGGGATCCCAGACACAAGTCAGATGCTCCCAGGGCTGGGACTAAAGCTCCTTCTGCATCGTGTGTGGATTAAAGTCTTGGAATCAAACGGTGGCCTTGACGGCGGCAAACCTCCCCAGATCCCAGCCACGGGGCAGCCAGAGGGCAAACGCTACTTCCCTTCCGCCGACACAGTCCCTTGTTCCGTCCCCGTCCGCGCCGGCCAGGGCGGGTCACGCTCCGGGCTCTGGGATCAGCACGTGGCCCCAGAGCGTGTGCTGAGGGCGGGGAGAGGGCTCTAGCGGGACCCCAGAGGTTCCGCCCATGCTGAAGGGAGAATGCACAATCCGGAGGGGGAATCACAGAGAGCCAGCCGGCGAGACCAGGGCCCAACAAATCACTCACAGCGCATGAGCTTCCAGCCTCAGTGAGCCGCAGCCGGTCCCTTGTGGCCCCAAACGTCCCGCGCCGGAGCGGGTCTGTCAGAGTGCTGGGTACCAGCGCGGGACAGCAACCCGCCGGGGACAAACAACAGACCTGAATTCCTGCTTCACACGCCAGCTAACCCTCTTGACACACACGTGGCTAAGGCTCTAGCATGGGACACCTGGCTCTATGCCCAGCTCTGACACGCACTTGCCGTGACACCTCGGGCAAGTCACGTCCCTGTGCCATGCCTCAGTTCCCCCTCTCCCCCCGGTGTTTTGTCTATTTAGACTGGGAGCTTTTCAGGGAAGAGCCATCCCGTAGGTCCAGCTCCACTGGAATCAATGGAAGTAAGGTGCCCGGGGCTTAACCTAAGTGATGCCCAAGCTTGAATCCACTTTTCCCATGGAGCCAAGTCCTCGCTCGGTGTCTGTACAGCACCAAGCGCAGCGGAGCCTGGGGGTGCTACCGTCAGAAATAACAACAGCATCCTCCCCACCCCAGCACAGCCACAGGCCACTGCTGCGTGGCCAGGGAGAAACCCAGCGTTGGCTCCTACGTGCTAAAGCCGGGGAAGCCCAGGCAGCCCCTCGGGGTCAGGGAACGCAGGCGGGCACTGCAGCCTCGTCCCCTCCCTCGGGAGCTGGGTCTGCAGTCTCAGCAGAGCTCCCACAGCCGGAACCGGCCCCGCCCGTCGCTCCCGGTCCAGATTTATCACCACGGCCCCCGGGCTGCGCTCTGGGGGATCCTGGCCACAGTGGAGTCACTGGGGATTATTGCACCCTATAGTATTTTCTCGGCACTCGGCACCTCTGCAAATCAGGGCAGCTGGAAAGCCAGGGGCCCAGAATCAGCAGCCAGCACTGAAACCGTGGCATGAACTGTGATGTGGAGCCCCCAACCTCGGAGCTCCCTGCCGCGTCTCGGGGGCAGAACGAAGGCCGATATTCCTGCAGGGCTTCCCGTGGGGGCATCACCTCCCAGCTCTTACCAATGCCTCTGTGCATGGAGCCGGCCTTGCCAACTACCACGTGCCCTTGCCAGCACGCTGTCTCCTCAGCCCCAGCTCTGTCTCCGCTCTCACTGCCCAGGCGGGGCTGGG